CTCGCTTCGCTCCCGCAGGCCTGATCAGCTTGGCCAGCTGAAGGGGCTTGGCCTGCGGTCGCCCAGGCTGGGGCTGGGCCGCAGGCTTCGCGGCTGCCGCGGCGGCCGCGCGGCCGCCAGGCGGGCGGCTGCCCGCCGCCTTGGGGCTCCGAACCTCAGGGGGTCTCACGCCCTCGCCCGTAGCCTCGTCAACTTGAATTGGGTACCCACGATTCCTTATGGGCCCCTGGCTGGGCTGAGGACTGCCAGTCCTTCGGTCGGGCCCAGCCAAGTCCGCCGCAGCGCTTGGCTCTGTCCTGCTGCTGAGCGCCTCGAAGGCGTCGGCCTCCTCGTTGGCCGCCAGGCAGGCGTGCAGGCCGCCGCTCGGCGCCGCCGCCGCCGCCTCGGAGCGGCTGGGCGCCGCCGCCTCCGCCTCCTCAGCCCCGGCCGGGGCGGGCGGCGCCGCGCTGTCGGGGCCGCCGCCTGGCAGCAGGGTGCTACCCGCGGGCCTGGCCACTGCCAGCAGCAGCGCCAGCAGCAGGTGGAGGGGCCGCCGCAGCGGCCTTCTGGTCGGCAGCGCGCTGGCGGGCCGCCTCGCCTGCCGCTCGGCTCTCCACGGCGGCCGCTGGGGGGAACCCAGCTCCTGGCGCAGCGCCCGCGGCGGGGGCGGCGGCGGCAGCAGGGGCGGCCGCCTGTCCTGCGGGCTGCGGCGGGGCCGCAGCGCCCTGCTCGGGGGTGCCAGCGGCCACGGCTGCTGCAGGCCCCTCCTCGGTGCGCTTGCGCTTCTTGGCCACCTCCTCCTCGATCTGGCGCTTGATGCGCTGCTGGTGCTCCTGGCAGTTGCGCTCGAACGTAGCCTGCGCGCCCTGCATGATCTGGAGCCCCTCATCGCAGAGGCGCCTGAGGGTGGCCTGCGCCTCCTCCTCCAGCTCCGCGAAGTTGTCGAACGACTCCGCGTCGAAGTTGAAGGTGAGCTGCCTCGCGCCGTCGGGCTGGGCGCCCACGACACCAGCCGCCTGGGCTCGCTGGCGCAGGAGGGCGTTCTCCGCCTCCTTGGCCTCCGCGAGGTTGACCGCAGCCTCGTCGCGCCAGCCGCGGCACACAGCGAGGTGGTCCTCCGCCGCCGCGAGCGCGTCCGCCGCCTCGTCGAGCTGGCGCTGGAGGTTGATCCGCTTCGCCGTGGCCGACTGCAGCCGCTGCTCGAGCGGCTTCGGCGCTGGGGCGACCGCGGGCGCGACGTAGCCCCGCGCGTCGCGGACCGCCTCCTGCAGCCTGGCCGCGATGGCGGGGTCCCCACAGGCGAGGAGCGCGTCGAGCTCGCTCTCGGGCGGGGTCGACCAGGGGGCCTTCGGGAAGGCGCCTCCGCCACGGCCGCCCGCGCCACCGCCGCCGCCGCCACGGGAGGCTGCACCGCGGCCCTTGCCGCCCTTGCCGCCCTTGGCGCCATCCTTCGGCGGGCCTCCGCCGCCGCCTCCACGATGTGCGAGTTGGGAGCCGCCGTCGCCGCCGTCCGCCCAGACCCCGCCACGGGGCGAAGGCTTCGCGGGCGCCAGCTCCAGCCCGATCCCGCACTGCCAGCACTTCGCGTTCTTGCGGAAGTTCCAGCGGTAGCGGCAGCCCGTGCACACGACGAAGCCAGGCTCGGCCTTGGGCCCCATCGCTGGGTCGGGCGGGCGCGCTGCTCAGCCGCGGGCGTGCAGCAGGCAGGGGCCGACGGGGGCGGACCCGCCGACCCAGAAGAAGTCGTGACCCGAAGGTCCTGGAGGGTGCTGCTCAGGCAGCTCACACTTGTTGGAAAGGAAGGTGGCCTCAAAGCGGAACCTCCCTCGCGCTCAGAAGTCGCCCCGGAAGACTCGCGGTCGTCGGGACGGTTCATTGCCTTGAGCCAAAATGGCTACGGAACGCGGTGGGGGCATTGGATGAGAAACCCTTAGATAAGGAATCCAGGTTCTGGAAGCCGGTGGAACTCCCATCGTGGATCGGCCATGGATATCACCGCCGCCCTCATCAGATAAGGAATCCTCCAGGGTCTGCAGCCTCCTGGGCGCATTCCTTAACCAACGCCCCCACCATACTTGTCACTCTCTTTCCCTCACCGAGAGCTGTCTTGGTTCAAGTGTTGACTACACAGGCGTGCAATACAGCAAGCGCAACGAGCGGCGGGAGGAGGAAGCACAGAGCAGGAAGGAAGCGGGAGAAAGCAAAACAAAAAGAGAAAGGGATGAAGAAAGGAGGACGCTGCACGATGCCGACGACGCGAGCCAATCCGAGCCAGGCACACTTTCCCCTGCCGCGCACTGGCGGCGGCGCCACTGTAAGACAAAAGCTGTACAGCCTGGGGTCCCCGATCCGAAGTCATCGACGCCCACTGCCTCTGCACGCTCTACTCTGCGCTGCGACTGCCGTCAATGACAGTTTCGGTACTTTCTTGACGCTCGCAATTCTTTCTGGTGGTCAAGGCTAAAGTAGGTTGGAACATCATAAGACGTGCGCGAGGCCTCGCGACGTGTGAACGAGTGTGCCCCACAGGGAGGACCCCAGGGGTCCACAGTGGCCGACGTGGCGAGCGACAGCCACCCCGCTGAGGGTCGGAAAGCACACAAGGGGTGCACGGTCTCCCCCGGGGCCATAGGCGACCCGAAGAGGAGGAGAAAGAGGAGGGAGGAGGAGGGAGGAGGGAGGAGGAGGAGGAGGAGGAGGAGGAGGAGGAGGAGGAGGAGGAGGAGGAGGGAGGAGGAGGGGAGGAGGGAGGAGGAGGAGGAGGAGGAGGAGGGACGGGGAAAGAAACCCTCCACCAAGGGGGAGAAACCCTCCACCAAGGGGGGGTGGGGATGCTGCCTCCCAAGCAAGGCCCAAGGGGGGCAGAGGCCGAGGGCGCTGCCCCCCTGCGCCCCCCGCGCCCGCGGCAGTGCGACGAGGACGGGCGGAACGGCCCGCGCCCCAGCGGGCAGAGCTGGCCTCGGGGCAGGGCGCCCGGGGGCCAGTCGCGAAGCCCTGGAGGCTTCCGCCACGCCATGGCTCCCCGTGGCCGCCGTGCGTCGGAGTCGGGGCCCGGCCACGCCATGGGATTCCTTAGGAAGAAATCCATAGGTTTCCTGCGGAAGCGCACAGGATGCCTCAGGAAGTCCATCCGATTCCCTCGGACATCCATAGGGCCCCTTGGGAAACCCGTCGGATTCCTCAGGAAATTCATAGGGATCCTGGTGGAATCCTGGTGGAATCAACAGGGATTCACGTAACGGGGGCATCAGGCCGAGGGCGGCGAGCGACGCGGCAGGTGCGCCCCTTCGGGCCATGAAGGCTGGCACGCCGTGCCGGTGGACGTGCGCTGCTCTGCCAATGGGGTCGCAGCCATCGGCGGTGAGGCTCGCGAGAAGCTCGGCCAGCCTGCCCAGCTAGGCAGCAAGGCACGGCCAGGAACAAACATGAAACAAACGCCCAGAAAACTATGGAAAAAACGGGCGCGGGCACGCACAGTATTAATTTAGACAGGGATGAGGGGTGGGGTCGATAAGAGTCCCCCCTAGGATGGCATGAATTCTGTTTTGAAATAGACGATGGGGCATAATCATACGCAAATGGCACTCTCCCAAAGAAAACCGGAAAAAAACAGGGAGGGTAGATCCTAGTTTCTTAGAAAAAGGAAAATCAACACCGGGCGACCACGAGGCGGCGACGGGGCGGCGATGGCGACAACATAGCCGCCGGACCGACGGTCAGCCCCAGACGACGGGTGGCGACGAGGCGGCGACGGGGCGGCGACGGCGACAACGTAGCCGCCAGACCGACGGTCCGGCCCAGAGGACGGGCAGCGACGAGGCGGCGGGGTGGCGACGGCGACAACATAGCCGCCAGACCAATGATTAGACCTAGACGACGGGCGGCGACGAGGCGGCGACGGGGCGGCGACGGCGACAACATAGCCGCCAGACCGGCGGCCAGTCTCAGTTCCTTAGAACAGAAGTAAAAACCCTAAGTACAAGCACTGCCTGCGGACTAGGAAGGTCGGAACACGGAGGAAGCAGCAAGGGGATGATGGGAAGATGGTGGAAGAAGGAGAAGCAGAAATCATGGAGGAGCGGTGAGGAAGCAGGAGGGAGAAAGGAGGAGGGAGGAAGGATGACGAATGAAGGAGGACGCAGGAAGGAGGCAGCAGGAAGGAGGAACCAGCAACAAAGAAGCCAGAAGAGGGACCACGGAGGGAGGAAGGCACAAGGAGAGAAGAGGAAGGAGGAAAGTAAAAGGAGGAAGAGGAGGAGGAGAAGGAGGAGGAGGAGGAGAGAAGGGAGACGAGACGGGTGCCCCCATGATCAACGGGGCCGCCCCAGCGGTCAACAGGCCTCCACGGACCCTGGGGGCACTTACTGGACAGGCCGGCGCACACCCAGACCAGGTCCCTCACGCGTGCGACCTGGGCTAGGTCGGGCATGTCCCCCCACAAGCGGCTTTTGGACGAAAAACCACAAATACTCCAAAAGGATTCGAGCATAGTCAAAGAATTCGAAGAATCGTCCCCAGACTCTGTTCTGACTATTTTCGAATATTCCTCCTGTAAAAGGACATGCCCGACTTAAGACTAGGGCCGACGCCTGCGGCGTTCGGAGGGGCGAGAGCGACAGTCTGCAGCTCCTCCAGCCGAGGCTGGCAGAAGTCGGCGCGACCCCCCAAAACCGCCGACTGTGGCACCCAGAAGCCGACGGGGCTCGGAGGACATCTCCGCCAGCGCCCGTGCGTGTTTCACAAAGGCTCCAAGTCGAGCTCGCCCCACCTCGTGCTGTAATCACCCTCGCTAGGTCAGCTGCGCTCCCCGTCAGCCCGCGGCCAGAGAATCTTTCTGGTACGCGCGGATTGCTTCCTGGATTGGGCTCCCAGTCGCGCTGCAGCGCGTAGCAAAGGCACACCGCCTACACGATCAGATTCATCACCGAGGGACTGAGAGAAGAAGCGGAAGAAGATAAAGGAGGATTGAGGCGGGAAGGAAGATGAATGCACCATCCATCCACCCCACCCGTGTCCACGGCCTTGCCGTTTCCCAAGGGGATAATCTCAGAACCATCCTTCTGCACGAACTGTGGAAAGAGCTTCCTGACGGCGATGACGTTTGCCTTATGAGAAGTTCGACAAATAAGGCCAGCACATGTAGCGGCAATGTCAAGCATGGCAGCGGACGGGAGACCGACAACGACCGTACAAGGTACAACTGGGCAAGCAACGCTGGCTAAAACAACAGTGATTTGTTGTGATGGCGCACAGTATGGCTCAAGCACATGGACAGCGTAACGCATGTTTCACCACCAACAGCATGGCGCATGGTTGCCGAAAGGCCCCAAGCTGTCCTTGTCGGTGCGACGGCGACCAGATCGTACGCATTTTGAGCGCGCAGAGATCAGAAAAATACATCACGAGGTGTCAACAACTAATTGGTCTCAAGTCTCGAAGACAATGCCAATCACATCAGGTGTCCAACTGTGGCGGCGGTTGCCCTAGCTCTCCACCCCTGTCGGGTGACCCTCGTCTACCGCTTCACGCTGTAAAGTGCGAAATACGCATAACCAATCCAGCAAAGAAACAAATGCAGCTTGCTGTCCTGGTGGACCTTCCTTGCCTGGATGAGGTCCTCGATGACCCGCTGCCAGTACACACCATTAATCAGCACATTCGCTGCAATCCGAGTGCCTGCTGGTGCATCCCAAGGACAATGGATATACTCAGCTGGCTCCCCAGTGGGAGTGTTGAGATACATGCTCAGAGCTTCCCCTCGTCACCACCACGTCATCATCAACATCATCATCATCACCAGCAGCATCATCAACATCATTATCAACAACAACAGCAGCATCATCAGTTGTCATCGACCAGACAACATCCAGCAATAGAAGCAGGTCGTCGACGGGCAAGTCTCGTATGGTGTGACTGCTCACCCACCCCCCCTGATGGCCCAGGTAACCGATGATGGATAGCCTCGCGAGCGATCCGAGCCGCGAGCCCATCCAGCAGCATTCCTACGAATAGCCGCGCTGAACTATAGGGGCTGCCCAGCCTCCTCTTGGCAGCGGGACATCGAGGGGGTCCAGGGAGGCATTTCTTTTTCCTCTGGCCACGACAGCGGAGCACAAACGCACGCTGCCCGTCCAGAGGCATTCAGCATTAGATCCGCTTCCCCTCATGGGGGCTATAACCGCCTCCATCGAAAGGGAGGCCTTCTGAGAAAGGGGGTCTAGGGAGGCCTCCCTAGACCCCTCATAGGGAGGTCTTCTGAGAAGGCACGGGACTTCTCCGTAGAAGGGAGCGGAGGCTTCTAGGACGGCCTCCAGGACGGCGAGAGGGGTTCTGAAATCACCAGCCTCGGTCGGACCCCTGTCCATAAGATTGACAAGCTCCAATGCGATGACAACCTTAGGGATGCGCCTCCAGAGACTGAAGGGTTCCTCACGATCGGCATCGAGATCAGGCGATGCCAATCATGGGGACACGCATCTGCTCCAGGCTGGTAATGAACAAAAAATCCCCCTTGCCTTGCTCGATGCCTCCTCGACCCCGCGGCCCCTCCCGGCGCCCTCTCCCCCGCCTTGGGTCGGGCGTGTCCCCCTGCAGGCAGACCTGGGGCGAAGAGTTCAAAGTAGTGAGTCAAGAAATACTCAAAACAAATCGCAAACATGGTCGACAAATCGCCACCCCAGACTATTTTTCGACTGTCTTCGAATATTCCTCCTGTAGAGGGACATGCCCGACTTAAGACTAGGGCCGACGCCTGCGGCTTTCGGAGGGGCGAGAGCAACGGTCTGCAGCTCCTCCAGCCGAGGCTGGCAGAAGTCGGCACGACCCCCCAAAACCGCCGACTGTGGCACCCAGAAGACGACGGGACTCGGAGGACATCTCCGCCAGCGCCCGTGCGTGTGTGCGCGTGTGTTTCACAAAAGCTCCAAGTCGAGCTCGCCCCGCCTCGTCCTGTAATCACCCCTCGTCCTGTATGATGGGCCTGTTTTCCACCACCACCACCATAAGTTGGAGGGGGGAAGGAGGTGGAGGAGGAGGAGGAGGAGGATGAGGAGGACAAAAGAGGAGGAGGAGGACGAAAGAGGAGGAGGAGGACGAACGAGGAGGAGGAGGAGGAGGAGGAGGAGGAGGAGGAGGAGGAGGAGGAGGAGGAGGAGGACCCCCTCCCCCTCCAACTTATGGTGCTGGCGGTGGAAAAACAAGACCCAGCCCTCCAGACCCTGAGGCCGTGCGGGCGCGCTCCGCGACAGCGCTCCCGATCGACGGGCAGGTGCGCCAGCTCCGGGAGCCACCGGCGCACGTAGCTGCCCTCGGGGTCGACCTTCTTCCCTGGGAGCGGGCGCGCACGCGCGCGGCAGGCTGCCGCGCCACCTGCTCCAGCGGGCAACGGCAAAGGGCACCTCAGCTCCCCTCCTAGAAGTCAAGGAATCCACCCCCACAATCACCACCCCGACACGCGAAGTCGTTTAGTAAACGCGCCCAGAGAAGGAATCGAACAGGTCAGGGCTGTTTAGTAAACGCCCAGGGCCCTTTAGTAAACGCGAATTGTCCAGTCAGGGTGGTTTTTCCTCCCTTGACCTTCGCACCCCTCAGCTCAGGGGAGGCTGCAGCACCGCTCCACGATATGCTCTCTATCCGAACCTGCAGGGTGGGCGCTTCGGTGCGGATCGTCTGCGAGCCTCGTCTCCGTCGTCGTCGTCGTCGTTGTCGTCGGCGGCGCGGCGTGTTTCTCTGCTCGGGACTTGTGTCCTTGATGCAGTGACCACTACCCACCAACCCCTTCGCACCCCTGGCGGGGGCTTCGTGTATATCAGATGCCCCTGCGGCCCAGGGGCCAACGGGGCCGGGCTTCCGGTGTAGAGAGAGAGAGAGAGAGAGACTAGGACCACCGCGCACGCGCTTCGCGCGCGCTCGAGTTTTACACGCCATGGGGCCAACCGTATGGCACGTCAGAGGGGCCGTGTCCGGATGATTGGGTCCTCAGCTTGGAAGCGTATAGTTTGGTGTCTGAAATCGCATTGAGGCCGTCCGTGTGTTCGCGGCATTCCTGGGCTGTCCTTGGGCAGTATTGCACTCCTCTTCGGACCACTTGAGCCTCCAAGGCAATTTTGGAGCCACGCGTTGGCAAAAAGTGCAAACTCCAGAAAACAATAGAAAATACGTTCGGATTCCCTTTGGTGTTTGACTGATTTGATTCTCCCTTCGGTGGAGCTCCCTACGGGGCCGCGCACCGTGTGATGGGTGCGCCAAAATGGGGCGGCGCCGCCATGTGGACCCTGCCACCAGGGCCTTCGGTGGAGCTCCCTATGGGGCCACGACCCGTGTGAGGGGTGCGGAGACGCGGGGCGCTGTCTCTTCAAAACAAGGACCCAACACCACAGGATGGTTGGGAAATGCAAAAACGAAGATGAACTGCCGCAGATGATAAAGCAGAAATACGCTTCGCATCTGCAACAACGGGCGTGATATGGGCAGGCGTCAGTCAGCACAGGCTATGTGCACCTTCGACTCAGTTGGCGATTGGGTTGATACTGGCGGCGAGGTACCAGAAAATACATAAGAAGCTTGCCACATAGCGTCATTCGCTGGGATAGTAAACGAGGCTGCTTGACAGCGGGCGCTGGCTTTCCGAGAACGTCCCGACGCAATGCAGCGTCCGACACCCTGACCAGAAAGAGGCTGTTCTTGGGCACGCATTTCGACTGAATCCTGCCAGCGCTACGCCGAAGGACGGCAGATTGCAAAACGGGGTGGCACATACGGCTTGAGACAGCGGTGTCCTGCAAACACCGGGTGCATCACGAAATTCCAGGCGCCGATACCGCTGTGGCCGCCCATCTGCCACATCATGGCGTTGATGGCGACATCAGTGTCGACCTAGGCTGGGTACTACAACAGCGCGGATTCCCGCGCAATGTCAGTGGGTCGAGAAGCGATGAGGTTGACAAGGCAGGTGTCTGTAACGCGCACAACTCATTCTAGAGCTGTCTGGAGTTGAATGCCAGTCAAGGGCGCGACTAAGAAAAACACTCTAAGACATCGGGTCTGGCTTTCAAGTATAATCTTGAGCAAACACTGGACCAGCATTCCGCAAAAAGCCCCCGGGTCATGGGCAAGGGAGGAAGAAGGCCAGCTTCCTGGAAGACTCCTGAAGCAACGCCTGGCCAGGAAATCCAGGGGAGGTTTGCCAATCAGCGGCGCAGCTGCAGGCCAAAGCTGAGAGCTGCCAGGCACGGCTGACACTCGCCGACACCTTGTGGCCTGCTCGGCGTGTGCGACTCTTGATCTTCGGACCCGGGGGTGCTCCCGGACGGCCTCGGAAGGGCCCCGGGCAGACGGCGCCCAGAAGGAGCCTCCGCGTGGCCTCAGCTGGCCCCAAGATGGCCCCAGTGCATCCCAAGAGGCCTCCCAGACGCCCCTAGAGGGCCTCAGGAGGAGTCTCAAGAGGGCCTCGATCGGCCAAGTCGGACCATTCCGTGCGAAGAGCTGACGTTGTCAGCACTTTCGCAGTTTGGAGCTAAATTGCGTCCAAGAGGACCCATGGGCCCTCCCCGATCGCCCGAAGACGGCCCAAGAGGACTCCAAGAGGGCCCCATGACGTCCAAGAAAGCACTCAAGATGGCCCCAAAGACGGCAAAAGGGGCCCTAAGGTGGCCCAAGAGGCCCCCAACACTGCCCCAGAGAGGCCACCAAAACGGCTTCCGCAGGCGCCAGGCAGCCACAAAGCGTCCGGAGAAAGACGCCCCCAAGAGGCCTCCAGATGGCCCGAAGAAGTCAAGATGCCCCCAGAGGCCTCTAAAAGGCTCCCAGGAGCCCTCCAAATTCCCATGCCCTGCGCGCTCTAGGAATCCAGCTCCCCATGACAAAAGCAGCCAGGATGCCTGGCTCTCGAGCTCTTGATTGATAGAGAAGCTCTGCCGCTCGCGTACCCCTGCCCTTTCGGCACTTCCCTCCTCCTCCTCCTCATCATTATTCTCCTTATTACTGCTATGTTTCTGCTTCTTACCATTCTTATTATTCCTCCTCCTCCTCCATCCTCCTCCTCGTCCTCTTCCTCTTCCTCTTCCTCCTCCTCCTTCTCATCCTCCTCCTCATCCTCCATCCTCCATCCTCCATCCTCAACACTCCATCCTCCACCCTCCGACCTCCATCCTCCATCCTCCATCCTCCATCCTCCATCCTCCACCCTCCATCCTCCATCCTCCATCCTCCATCCTCAACAGTCCATCCTCCACCCTCCAACCTCCATCCTCCATCCTCCATCCTCCATCCTCCACCCTCCATCCTCCATCCTCCATCCTCCACACTCCATCCTCCACCCTCCATCCTCCATCCTCCATCCTCAATTCTCCATACTCCATCCTCCTTCCTCCCTCCTCCCTCCTCCCTACTCCGTCCTCCTCCTCCTCCTCCTCCTCCTCCTCCTCTTCCTCCATCCTCTTCCTCTTCCTCCTCCCTCCTCCTCCTCCTCCTCCTCCTCCTCCTCCTCCTCCATTCCGTCCCCTTTTGGATAACTCCTCCCTGTCGCACCCGGAGGCCAGTTCTTAGGGCAAGCCCGGCGTCGCGCCCGAGACTTTCTCACAATTTATGACCCTGAAGCTTAAAAAGTGACAACAATTTCGCAGATGAAGAGCGGGTCGCTTTCACAATGTTGCTCTCGCCTTAGCGCCGCGCACACTCGTCTTGAAACATTCAAAGGGTTTCACGGATTGAGGGCGGGTGGTTTTCAAAATGTGGTTCTCGCCTTAGCGCCGCGCACATTCGTATTAAACATGTGTGAGAGCTTCACGGATTGAGGGCGGCTCCTTTCAACATGTGACTCTCGCCTCGGCGCCGCGCACATTCGTGTTAAAAGGTTGCAACAAGAGCTTCACGGATTGAGGGCGGGCCATTTTCAAAATGTGGCTCTCGCCGTAGCGCCGCGCACATTCGTTTAAGAAATTTGCAAGAGTTTCACGGATTGAGGGCGGCTCCTTTTCAAAATGTGGCTCTCGCCTCAGCGCCGCGCACATTTGTTAAAACAAATGCAAGAGCTTCACGGATTGAGGGCGATTGCGTTTCAAAATGTGGCTCTCGCATCAACGACGCGCACATTCGGTTTTTAAATGTGGAAGAGTTTCACTGATGTCAATGATCAACGCACCGGAAACTGTGTTGTTTGAACGATTCAGGATTATCCGGGCGCAACAGTTATGTTAGCTTGCTGTGTTGAAGTCCCAAAAATGGCGTTATGGGACGATCCTGGAACGTCAGGACGCAGCTGTCAGGTTGGCACGTGGCGTTGAAATCCCGAGAACAATGTTTTGCCACGCTTCAGGATCTTCAAACTGTTGTCTTTCAACGAGGCAGTGTCCTCAATGGAAATGGACCGTTGTAGGGGCATATGACGAGGGAGCTTGGAGCGGGGGTTAATTCCAACATCGTTGGTGACTCTTGGGCTTCCACTGGTCCTCCTCCTCCTCCATCCTCCATCCTCCATCCTCCATCCTTCATCCTCCATCCTCCGCCCTCCATCCTCCATCCTCCATCCTCCATCCTCCATCCTCCATCCTCCATCCTCCATCCTCCATCCTCCATCCTCCATCCTCCATCCTCCATCCTCCAACCTCCATCCTCCATCCTCCAACCTCCATCCTCCATCCTCCATCCTCCATCCTCCATCCTCCATCCTCCTCCTCCTCCTCCTCCAACTCGTCCTCCTCCTCTTCCTCCATCCTCCTACCCCTCCTCCTTCATCCGCCCCCTCTTTCCCTGGAGACGGACCCATGTGCTCTGAGAGGCAGAGGAGCATCACAGAAGCCCTCCGTGTAGCCGCACCAGCCCTCCGGGCGGACGTTGTATAACGAGTTCCGCTCCCTATTCGGAGCGTGTGATCTATCTCACTGGAGCACAGCGAACACAGCCCCATCATGTGTTGTCACGCCTGGGGCAGCACAATGGAAAGATTCGCACTGCCACTACACATCGCCCCCACACACAGACACACGACTGCGCTGAGCAAGCCTGATGCCAACGGTTGCCCTCGAAGCGTGCCAACGAGGAGGTTTGCAACAGGAGGGAGGAGCAAAGCGGAGGAGAACGCGGGCCGGAAAACAAGAGACCACGGCGTTGTTTGCGGGAACCCCATGGCCCAACCGACCATTTATGCAACCCATACAACGGCAGCCAGGAGGGGGAGGAGGAGGAGGAGGAGGAGGAGGAGGAGGAGGAGGAGGAGGAAGGAGGGAGAGGAGGAGGAGGAGGAGGAGGAGGAGGAGAAAGAGGAGGAGGAGGAGGAGGAGGAGGGGGAGAAACAAAGAGAGACAAACGACAGACGGAAGAAGGCAGCAGGCTAATGAAATCCGACCTCCACGGCCTATGCCGACAGAAGTGCTCGCACCACGACACCACGCGAGTCGAAGACAGAAAAAAACAGAGCAAAGTCTCGAGCCTAGGCAGAGGGACTGCGCCAAGTGAGAGAGCGCACAATGCAGCAGGCAGGTGACGAAGGCAGGGGAAAGGGGAGGAAGAGGACCAGAGCAGGAAAGAGAAACAAACATTGGGTGCACGAGAGTGGTAAGGAGGGTACACACAGTCCTAGGGCTCAGGATGTTGCTGGACAGAGCTGGTGCTGGTGTGTCGCTGCCTTCTGCGGATGGGGGGCTCAGGCGTCGACAAGTGTGTAGTCGTACCAGGCGAAGCCGTCTTTCCAGTTCAGGTCGAGGTGCTCGATCAGGAACTGGGCGGTCACGTGGCGCAGGTGGTTGCACATCCAGCCCACCTTCCAGAGCTGCCGCATCGCGGCATCGACCTGGGAAGGGGGAGAAATGGAGCGGGAAGGGGGAGGGAGAGGGGGAGGGGGGAGGGGGACAAGGAGGGGGACGGGGCAGCGGAAGGGGAGGGGGAGCGGGGAGGGGGGGGGTAGCACGTATCCTTTACCATCTTGCCCACTTGGGCCCGAGCCAGAAAGGGCCCACAGAAAGCTACATGGGGTATTGGTACCTTCGTCTTGAAGCTCTCGCCGAGTCTTGCCGGATGGAAGAGGTCCGAGACCTGCTCTGGGACCAGGACAAAGGCAGGATGGCAGTGGGAATATCTGACTTCGGAGGGGGGGGGAGGAAGAAGAGGAGCAAGACAACGACGACGAGCACGGAAGAAGAGGAACAGGAGGAGGCACAGCGCTGGAACGAGAGGAGGAGGAGGAGACGGAGGAAGAACAGGAGGGGGAGCGGGAGGGGGAGGAACAAGGAGCAGGAGCAGAAACATGAGTAGGAGGAGGAGCAGGAGCAGGAGCAGGAGCAGGAGTAGGAGGAGGAGGAGGAGGAGGAGGAGGAGGGGCGATACCCCTGGCTTGGAGAACCAACCCCTGAGACTTCGTGCGGAGGGGGGAGGGCTGGGAAGCCCCCCCCGAGACCAATTCGCAAGGGAACTCCTCGTCATCGCCGCCGTCGTCGTCGTTGCCCCCCTCATCCCACTTCTCGTCGTCCGCCCCCTCACTCTCATCCCCGTTCCCCATTATCCTTGCCCTCCTCCTCCGCCTTGGCCTCCCTCTCCATTAGTATCCTTCCATTTGTCGTCGTCATCCTGGTCATCCTCACAGTCATGTTCATGCTGATGGTCGCAATGCTCCTCACGTTGGTCATCCTGACCCTGCTCCTCTCCCTCCGCCTCCGCCTCCGCCTCCGCCTCCGCCTCCTCCTACTCCTCCTCCTCCTCCTCCTCCTCCTCCTCCTCCTCCTCCTCCCCCATTCATCGTCCTCGCCCGCATCACCACTTGTTCCTCTTGTCTTTCCGCCTCGTGATTGCAATCGTCCTCGGTATTCCTCTCCGTGCTGCTCCTCTCCCTCATCGTCCTCTCCTTCTATCCTCCCTCCACGCGTTCCTTCTGATACCTTGATCGTGCCCCTTCTGCCACGATACTGCTCGATCGTGGGCTTGGCCGCTGGAGTTTCTAAGGAGACTGTCCACCGACTAGGCGTGGATACGACCCTGATCAAACAATCCCTAAATCCCAAAGTAAGACCCTGGACTGATTCGACCCCTCCTGGATGGTTCAAGATATCGGTGTTCGACCTACGCAAAGCTTTGGCGTCCTTGAGTGGCATAATGTTTGAGATGCGGGGCCTCCCGATCGGAAAGGTCGTACCTAGTGTAGCCCTCTGTGTGTGGATCTGGAGTTGCGAGCTGTAGGCCCCGAGGTACTCATACCCCAAAGATCCCGAATCGCCCCTGGTTGATTAGAGACCTAGAAACGCGAACCAAGGCCAACATCATTGAGTGGCCTGGTCGTCCTCCCCGAAAGGCTGCGATGATCGAGCCATGTGTCATAGCAGACTGGCTAGTGCGTCATACCTCAGCCTATCGTTCGGGGTCACGACAGGTTGGACTCTTGAGTTGGCTTCGGAATTGTTCCTGATGGGCTACCCCCGTGACATCATAATCGCTGGTGCCCATGCTGCCCCGTGGAGTGCTTCTGCTCAAAGGGTTCGAGCAGTCCTGCGTGTGTGGCGTTATCTCCTGCGATACTCATCCACGTCCTCGGCCATTGGCACGGGCTGTGCGAAACGCTGGGGCAATGATTCTTGGAATGGCCATTGTGACTGCGACAGCTCGGACCAAGACCGTGACCGTGAACGTGATCGGGATCAGGACGAGAAAGATGACCACCGCTCCGACCGTGACCGTCCGGACCGCCGAGATCCCCATGCAGACCGTTAGCGTGACCGAGGCCGTGAGCGTGATCGTCGCGCCTGTAGCAGGAGCGTCGCGCTCCGATCGTCGCAAAACGAGCATATCGAGGCGGCGGCCCCTCGCAAGCAGCCCGAGAGCAGAGGCACGGAGCATACGCAATGGCGGGGGCGCGCGAAACTTGGATTAGCGATCCATGGACTTGGCGCGCGGTCGCCAAGTCCATGGATCGGGGGAGGTGCGCTCCCCAAAATGCGGCCGGCGCCACCTCGTTCGGAGGCGGGAGTCCTCGATTTCCCATGGAAACGGGACCCGTCGCTAATCCACGCCTCCTTGATCCATGTTTGCGATCGCCTGAAAGGGGGGTACGTGGCGGCGGCCCTCAAGTCCGCGCTCACCAGCCAGACTTAGGTCGGGCATGTCCCCCCACAGGCGGACCTTGGACGAACAATGAAACAGAAAGTCAGAAAGTGCTGCAAGATAGACAAAAATAATACAAACTTCGTCCCTAAACTATTGTTTGACAATTTTTCGATATTCCTTCCTCCTGAAGAGGGACAGGCCCGACTTCAAGCCAGACAGAGGAGCTCAGGAAGGCGTTGGCACCGAATCATCGTCCGCCTACGCCGCCAGGCCATGCCACGTCACCATCCGCCTGAGGCTCTCTCTCTCTCTCTCTTTCTCTCTCTCTCTCTCTCTTTCTCTCTCTCTCTCTCTCTCTCTCTCCTGCCTCCATCCTCCCACAAGTTTCAGCCTGCCTCTCTCCCCCCTCTCCGCCCCCAGCCGCGCAACGCGGCGCCAACCTGCAGCAGACGAGAAGCCACCGCCCAGCCGCCTGCCCGCGGTTTCTGATTGGCGGGACTCTCTCTATCTCTCTCTCTCTCTCTCTCTTTCCCCCATTATTCATCCTCCATCTCGTTCTTGCTCATTATTGCGCGATGCCTGTGGCCATGTCGTTATCGAGTTGTGTCAAGGGACCTGGCTGGCCCAGGCGATGCTCACAGCCTGCCAGGTGGTCGCTCGTCGTCCCGGAAGAAAGATTCGCATACAGTGATTACAGATATATATATATATATATATATATATATATATATATATGTCTATCTCTCTGTTTCTCTCTGTCTCCTCCCACCTCCCTCCAAACCACAGCCGAAGCCTCTGCGTAAGACCGCGCCTCAAGCAAGCAAGCCTACCTCGTCCCCACCCCTTCTTTATCCATCCCCCCCTGGCGGCCCGCCGACGGGGTCAGAGTCAGGACAGCCACTTCGCATGCCCAACATGGACGAGCAATGTCGAAGTCCTCCCTCCTCCCTGCTCGCCAGCACAATCCCGTCCATCCTTATGTTCGAGAGTTCACTGCCCGCGACCAGGGGAAAACCCGTCTCCCCGCGCTGCCACCGGCGCAGCTGCAGCCTCGCACGGGCGCGGGGAGCTGGAAGAGGAGGGAGGAGGCAGGAGCGAGGAAGAAGATCCGAAAGGACTCGACATACTACACGAGAGCCATCTTTGGACGGAGGCGCACGCAGCGGGGGATGGCACTGTAGCTGGCGACGCCTGCACCAACCTATTCTGACACCTGCTGGTGACGTCTGCACAAACTTCCCCGCATGCGCTAGTCCCGAACCGTAGCTGAAAAGGTGGGCCACCACCCTCCCATGACACTGCGGGCGCTTTACGTATGCGCTAAGCCAAGGATTAAATCCAGCTTCCCTCACACTGCGTGCGTGCTCGGTTGACATTACCCCCGTGTTATAGCTAGGGGCCCTCGGCAACAGTTCCGCGCACATGTGACATCTGCCTCCATTCCTGGGCGGGTGTGCACGGTTTCCCCCGGGGCCGAAGGCGATCCGAGGAGGAGGAGGAGGAGGAGGAGGAGGAGGAGGTGGAGGTGGAGGAGGAGGTGGAGGTGGAGGAGGGAGAGGAGGTGGAGGAGGGGAAGGGGGAGGAGGAGATGGAGGAGGACGAGGAGGAGGAGGAGGACGGAGGAGGGAGGAGGAGGAGGAGGAGGAGCAAGAGGAGGAGGACGAGGAGGAGGAGGAGGAGCAAGAGGAGGAGGAGGAGGAGGAGGAGGAGGAGGAGGAGGACGGGTCGCCTAAGCCCTTCGGAGAAACCCCCCAGGTGGGTGACCACAATTCTGTAGCTGCAGCCATTCGGGTTCCAACTTATCATACATGGTGCCTGCCCTCGGCCGCTGGTCCCACGGTTGTGGCTGATTGCGTGGGGCTTCATGCCTTTGCCCGCGCATGTGGTCTTTCCTTGGCGTTCGATTCATAGGACTACAGATGGTGACGGTCGGGATCCAACTTCTTTCCGCAAACGCTGCATTTCCTCGGTCATTGACCAAAAACTTGTGGCTAATGATGATGGGCTTCGCAACTGCATTCGTAAAAGCGGTTGGTTTCCTGGACTGCAACTGGAGATGCTGTGCTGCGGCTCCTTCCCCGGCGCTGCGCCGAAGATGCTTGGCCCCAGCTCCTCTTCACACCAGATTTGAATTACAGGTGTGCTGATCTCTGGACAGTTTCTGGAGGCGCTGGGTTCCATCTGATCTTCACGTCTCCTTACGCTCCCAGGCGCGATGGACCACTGGCTCAAGCTGAAGATGTTGGGCTCCAACTGCTTGCCCCATGCTGCGCCGAGGACGATTGGCACCAGCTTGTGCTCACATCAGGTGACGTTTCCTGCTGCGTGGATACCAGGGTTGCCGCTGACGGCGACGGGCGTTGCACCTTCGCCCAGTGCCACCGCAGATCCTGGCGGCCTCTTCTCCCTGGCGCCTATAACTGCGGCTGCAGGGCGGCGAGGTGCCACGGCCGGACTCTGCGCTCTGTCCCATCCCCCCAGGCCTGGTGTCCGCGCGACCATCCAGAGAGACAAATACTTCCTGTCGGCCTGCTCCGCACGCAGACTGCGGGTCCCCGCTCTTTTTGTCCCAACCCTGCGTTGGGTTCTCGTTTTGAATACAGCGATGCGGTCTCCGTTCTCCTCCTCCTTCCTCTTCCTTCCCGCCTGGCTTCTCCTCTCCTCCCCTGTGCGCATGGTCTAACGCATTGGTCTGCGAGATAATTATACTGGCGGGGGTCCCATGGCGTGGTTACGAGCGGACGTGCCGCGTGCGGAACCAGAGAGGGCGCGAGGAGGAGGGAACGCAGGGGAGGGAAAGGGGAAGAGAGAAAGAAAGAGGACAGAGGCGCAGTAGAACGTAGGGGCAGCCTCAGGCGCGCGGCCTCACCCGTAGCAGCGGATCGTGTCGGTGCACCCCTTCGCCGCACTCTGGGGGCTGCCGCCGCGCCCGCCCCTCTCGAGGTACTGCTGGTGGTAGTCCAAGCTGGCTGCTGCCCGAATCATCTCGCACTGGTTCTCTTCGTAACAGCGGCAGGAGGCGCCATCCGCCAAGATTTTCGGGTCGGCCCACTGGACAAATTTGGGGCCTGTGCAGAAGCTCGTGCACTGCAACACGTTCTTGGCGACGGTGCTGGTGGCCGCGCGCTGCTCGTCGCAGACGACGTCTCCCCTCGTTGAGTCCTCGTCTCTGTCCTCGTCCTGTGTCCTGGGCCTCCTCCTGCGCCGGCCTCTGCCTCCTCCGCGTCCTCGCACTCCTGCGCCGCCTCCTCCCCCTCCTCCCCGCCCTCCTGCTCCACCTCCTCCGCCTCCTCGCCCTCCTCTCCCTCACCCTCGGGCCTGCCTCGCACTCCTCCGCCTCCTCTAGTCCCCTCCTCTGGGCCGCCTCGGGGACACCCCCGGCGACTGGGGGCACCGCCGTCTCCCGGCCTCGCGGCCGCGTTCCCGTAGCACGGCCAGTCGCATCCTTGCCGCGCCTCTCCTCGCCGCCGTCCTCCTCACTTCTCGCCTCGCTCTCCTCCGCCTCCTCCTCCTCCTCCTCCTCCTCCTCCTCCTCCTCCTCCTCCTCCTCCTTTTCCTCCTCCTTCTCCTCTCCCTGCCTCCTCTGGGCTCCCTCGGCGCTCCTCAGTCACCTCCTCGTGGTCTCGTCCTCGTCCTCGTCCTCTTCCTCCTTCGCCTCGTCGCCCTCCTCGGCGCCTCACGCGACGGCCGCCGCCGCCACCGCCTGCACCGCCACCGCCGCAGCTAGGCGGGCCGCGGTCGCCCCAGGCCGCTGCTGCTGCAACCGCGCCAGAATGGCCCGCGCGTTTTCCCTGTGGAGGGAGACGGAGCGTCGCTGGGCCATCCTGTCCGCCACGCCGGCGGCTTCCTCCCCGCGCGCGTCGGCCACGCGCTTGGCCAGCGCGGCGAAGGCGCGCCTCGCCTCGCCGCCCCAGCTCCCGCCGTGCGCATGGTGGCTTGCCTGTGGGGCCTGTGAGGTTTGAAGCTGGCATGCCTTGAGAGCTGCGGTACGCAAAACTGTCGCCACTTTCGAAGGCTGCTGGGGGAACCAGCATAGTGGGTACCCGCCGCAGATTCAGATTAGACCTCGCCGTCCCTGGGGGGGCTGGTTTCGAAGGCTGCTGGGGGGTGCACCACAGGGGGTACCCGCCGGAAGTTCAGACTAGACCTCGCCACCCATGGGCGGCTGCGATCTTCGAATCTGTCGCCACTTCCGAAGGCTGGTGGGGGGCCAGCATAGTGGGTACCCACCGCAGATTCAGATTAGACCTCGCCATCCCTGGGGGGGGGGGGGGCGATCTGCGAAACTGTCGTCATTTTCGAAGGTTGCTGGGGGGGGGCCAGCATAGTGGATACCCCCTGCAGATTTGAACTAGGCCTCGCCATCCTTGGGGGGCTGCGATCTGCGAAATTCCCGCCACTTTCGAGGGGGGTTGGGGGGAGCAGCGGAGTGGGGTCCCACCCAGACTCAAACTAGACCTCGCCATCCCTGTGGGACTGCGATTTGCGAAGCTGCCGCCACTTTCGAGGGCTGCTGGGGGGGGACCAGCGGAGTGCGGAACCACCCAGACTCGTATAAGATCTCGTCATCCCTGAGGAGCTGCGATTTGCGAAACTGTCACCAATTCCGAAGGCTGCTGGGTGGTCCAGCGGAATGGGGCCCCACCTAGATTCAGATTAGACCTCGCCATCGCTAGGGGGCTGCGATTCGCGAAACTGTCGCCACTTTCGAAAGACTGTCGGGGGGTCAGCGGGTGACGTCCTACGCAGATCCAGGTTCGACCTCGCCATCCCTGGGGGGCTGCGGTTTGCGAAACTGTAATTAACCACTTTCGAAGGCTGCTGGGGGGGGGGCAGCGGAGTAAGGCACCACCCAGACCCACACTAGACCTCGCCATCCCTGGGGGGCTGCGATCTGCGAAACTGCCACCAATGTCGAAGGTTGCTGGGGGGTTCCGTCCGAGGGGGGGGGGGGGGGGGCACCACCCAGATTCAGGTTAGACCTCGCCATCCGCGGGGGACTGCGAGCTGCGAAACTGTCGCCACTTTCGAAGGCTGCAGGGGGGACGGCGGAGCGAGGCACCACCCAGACTCAGACTAGACCTCGCCATCCCTGGGGGGCTGCGGTTTGCGAAACCGTCGCCACTTTCGAAGGCTGCTGGGGGTCCAGCGGGGCGCTGTCGCGGGTCGCCTGCAGAGCTGGCGTCACGCCTTCGAGTGTTGAGCTCCCGCACTAGAAAATGCAGGAAGGAAGCAGGGAAGCTGGCGGGCGAGTCGGGCCTCGTTCGCTTCTTGCACTACCTATAAGCAAGTATAAAACTCTTGCCGAGCGCCGCAGCGTTATGGCGCAGGCAGCGCTGCATGTTTAACGTACTACCGACAAGAGCAACACTCTTCGGCGTCCTCCCGCCACTTTCGTCGTCGTCCTCTGCACCCTGCCACCTTCCCTCTGCTGCTGCCGCGCTGACGGTTGGACCCCCCGCGCGCCCTTGTCTTGCCCTCCGTTCCCGCCCCCATGCCCTCCGCAAGCCTGGGCCCTCTCTCCTCGTCCTTCTGCTGTTGTCCTGTGCATCGTGCCACGCGAGCGCACCCCATGTAGCCTGCACAACATATAACGGCGCCTGCGCCGTCATTGTCCTGGCAAGTTTGGGCCAAAGCCTCTTGTCAACTGATGCAAAAATGGGTTGGGTACGTCGCAGGGTTGTTTTATGCCGGCGCTGGCCCCCCTGGGCACTGCCGCTGCTAGGTCGGCCCGAGGAGGCACGCATGCTCTTGGGCGCGGCGGCGAGCTCACAAATGGAACGGCTGAGCGAGGATGTGCAGAAAAAGGAGAGGGAGAGGGAGACGGAGGAGGAGGAGCGAGCGAACGTCCCACTCGGAACGTCTGGTCGCTCTTAGCGCCGCTGCGGCCCCGCGCCGCCGACGAGGGACGGAGGGCGCCTCCGCGCCGCGACGAGCGGCGGCAACTGCGCCCCTGCCGAAGCTGCAGATGTCAGCCCAGACCTCGTGGCTGGAGGTCGGGCTGCTGGTGCGGATGACGTCGAGGGTAGTGGGCGCGACGGCCATCCTCGCGATGGCGTGGTCGATGTCGCTCCCTCCGTCGCCGTCGTGGACCTCGCCGCGGAGGCCGAGGCGAGCCAGCGGCAACGGGGCCGGCAACGCCGCGAGGCCGGCAGGGGCGTGGCTGCATCCTCCGGGCAGGCGAGGCAGCGCGCGGGGTCGTCAGTGTGGCTGGGGTGCCTGCGGCCGCTCGGGCAACCGAAGAGGCACGGGAGCGTGGCGGGGTCGACGCGCACGCGGTGGCACGTCGTCCACACTCTCGGGCCAAAGTCTTCCGCGTCGGCCAGAGCTTCACAGCCGGAGCTCGTGGCAGCAAGAGCTGCGGGGAAGAATCCATTCGGCAGCAAGAGAGCCAGGCCCATCCGTTACGCCGACCAGGACCGCAGGCTCATCCGCTTCGATGGCGGGCTCGGTGTCGTACGGGAAGACTTCAGGAACGGGAAGTTCAGCGGTGATCCAACGCCTGCGGGCTCGATGTTCAGCAGCTTCCACGTCGCATTGGCGGGCGGCAGCAGCAGCAGAAGGAAGAGGAGCAGGACGGAGGAGTGATCGGAGGGGGAAGGATAGGGAGGGAGGGAGGGAGTGCGGGAAGGGTAACTAGGGAGGGAGGGAGTAAGGTGAGAAGGGAGGGACCCGATTCGACTGGCACTCGGGGAGGGCGCCGTAAGCGCCCACGATGGGCACCACCGCCCCCTCCAGGCCTGTGCGCCCATGTCGACGGCGGTCTTGGGCTGGACAGGGAGGTGGAGGGGGCTGAGATGGCTCAACTGGACATCTAGGATCACGCAGCGCCGAAGGAGCTGACTGGCCCTGCGGGCGATCGGCAGGAAGGCGTGCAGGGAGGGGAGGGGAAGGGAGGAAGTAGGGGAACGAAGAATCCGCGCGGACCTCCGAGTTTTTATATTTATGCCATTCTTCGTTCCCCTAGGAAGGGGAGGGGAGGGGAGGAGGGAGAAGGGAGAAGGACCGCCGCCCTGTGCCGCTCCAGGGAGGAGGGAGCAGGGCCGCAGCCTCGTGCCGCTCCAGCGCTCGTGCTCGTAGTGGGCCCGTATGCTGGTCGAGTGCGAGTCGGGCCAGCGGTACAGCTGGGCGTAGGCCTCGGCTCCGCGGGGACGGGGCGGCGACGACAGCGCAGGCGGCGGCGGCGACGGCGTCGTCGTGCCGAGGGCGCGTGCGGCCACTCTCCTGCTCACTCCTCGTCTCCCTCCTTCCTCCCTGGGGCAGCGACCTGGTTCTGCCATTGGGGCCTCCCGGACGGGGTCGGAGTAGACGTGGTCGGAGGATCGCGCCGCATCGCCGATACATCGGCGATGCATCGGCGATGCACTGGCGATGCATCGGCGACGTCGGCGACGCATCCGCGACGTCGGCGTGGGGAACATCGGTTTCCACATCGAGCCGCATCGGTGATGCGGCGCGATCCTCCGACCCCATCTACTCGTAGCTCATGCATGTCCCCCTGCAGATGGATTTTGGACGAAAACTTTAAAATAGTCAAAACTGATCAAAAAAGAATCAAACACACATCGAAAAATCGCTCCCAGACCAATGTGTATCGTCTTTGTTTTTTCCTCCTGTAGAGGGACGCACCCGACTTAACTCTGCTCGGAACCCCATCTGAGAGGCCCAGAGTCTCCGTCCTCCCTCTTCCCCTCGGCGGCGAAGACAAGGGGAAGAGAGAAGGAGGAGGCCTTCTCGGAAGGCTCGGAGGTCCCCCAGTCTTCAGAGAAGTTGTCCAGGACGTCCTCGAAGACACAAACAAAAAAACCGGATCCTTCTCACTTCCCCCCTCGCTCGCCGCCGATCCCAATCCTCCAGGGTGGATGGTTCGGGACGTTGCCCTGCTCGGGGCCGCAATACCCACTTGCCCTTCTTGGGCCGATCTCGCCTCATACAGGCCCAAGCCTGAAAAATCCTAGCATCGCAACCAGCAGGCAAAACGGACAGCGGACAAACATATCAGACGAGCTTCTGTGAAGACGCCATGACTCCGCGAGGCCACCACTATGATCAGAGTGTTATGTATATGCCACACCATTCGCTTTACGCTGATATTTAAAAAATGTTCCCCAGAGCATATGTATCAGCAGAAAGGGTGGGCCCCGATGCCCCGCGGTGCCATGCCGGGCCTGCAAGGTAACGTGTCACGCCTGGGCGGCACTGCCGATTGATTTGGAATTCAGCGTGGACTGCAATGCTCCTTAACGGAGGCCGACTGCGCCAAATGCTTTCCATCCCAAGCTCAGGCCTCACGGGGTGCTCAAGGTACCTCCCGAGCCACATATAACTCTGAAAATGGCAAGCTTGCAAGCCTGGCGCACAGCACAAAATACCAGCGCACTGCGATACGGCTGTTGCGCAAGCCCCTCCCGTTGGCCAGGGCCCCAGCCACCCCACCACTTTTTGCGCCGGCGGCTAGGCAGAGCGACTGCGCTGGCGGAAAAGCATTGGCAGGGCATATACGACCGCGAATTAAGCCGCGATGCACGAGGGTCGGGGATCTTCTGACCCGGGTCAATCCAGACCCGGGTCAGCAGGAAACCAAAAACTGCAATGCAAGAAAAAAAAACTGCAACGCAAGTCTTCGCAAAACCGAGTCAGCCAATACGCGCGGCCGCCTCGCGGCCACGAGCGGCTCGCTAGCCCGGGTCAGCCAGAGAGGGTCTTCGCAGGATCCTGCAGGATCCGGTGCCCTGGCTGACCCCCGTTTGCATTGACTCCCGTCTCGAGGCTCCCGAGAGGGGGAGAGGAGGAGGCGCCCGGCGGTGGCGGGAGGGAGACGGACAGCCACCCCACCACATACACCCCCCGTCACCCTCATGCGACGCTCTGGCGCTCCGGGAGGTGCAATATAGCTTGCCCGCGCCACCGCTGGGTAGAATTTTTCCGACCCCCTGGCCATCGATGCCGAAGAGGCTGCGCGCCAGCAAGAGCGCAAGGCAAGCCATCAAGAGCGCAGGCGGAGCAGAAGCCGAAAGGCGCAGACAGAAGAGGGAAGCAGCTGGCACGGCTGGGACCAACGCGGAACAGAAAGCACAGCCTACGCAGCCCAGGGACGCCGCGGGAGGTACTCCACGCAACACTGCAACGAATAGACAGGAACAGCCTGCTCCCAACCCGATGTTCGATCTCAAAGGCCCACAGTCGCTTTCTGCTGAGCCATCCTCCGTGTCTGGCGCCAGCAGCGTCGTCGTCTCCCCTCGCTGCGGAGCGGGCCAGTTACTCGGGCATCTCTGCTGAATTCGGCTCTCTCCCCACCATGACGAACGAAGAGGCTCACGCGTGTTCTTCCTGGGTCGATCCACCAATGGATAAGGCCCAGTTAGAGCAACACGACCAGGCCTTCACCTTGCACAAAGATGCAATGACTCTACAGCCACATTCTTCGCAGGCTCTGGGACACTCGCAGCAGCGCGTCCAGGCAACTCGAAAGGAGATCCTTCTTGTGCTGTTGGACCTCGCCAATGCGCGCGACCCTCTGTCGAAGGTCGCCGACTCCAGGAACCACGTTTAACTCCATCGATCAAAGACGATCAAGCCCTAGTAGCAAATAACAACTTGGCGGTTTGAGCACTATCTCGCGCAAGCCACTACAATGCTCACCTACCGTCGCTCCCCAGCTCAACAGCTGCCGAGCATAGAGGGCAGCCCTATGACAGATAGAGCACCCACGAACCCAACGCCTGTTCGCTCGACAGCTGCCGCCTCTACACCAGCGGCACCGGCGCCAGGGTCAGTGAGAGCCCCCCCGCAAACCTCTCGGACGGCTCATTGATTTCAAACATAAAAATACCGAAGAAAAACCTAAGTCCGAATGTTCTTAGGGCTATAGAGCTATAGGGTTATAGGGCTATAGGGCTACGGGGCTGTAGGCTATAGGGCTATAGGGCTATAGGGCTATAGGGCTACATGTGCTATTGGGCTATTGTGCTATAGGGCTATAGGGCTATAGGGCTATAGAGCTATAGCACTATAGGGCTATAAGGCTATAGGGCTATAGGGCTGTAGGGCTATAGGGTTATAGGGCTATAGGGCTATAGGGCTATATGAGCTTTATGGGCTATTGGGGTAAAGGGCTGTAAGGCGATAGAGAACCCGGGCACCTGGACACCCCGGTTAACCCCGGGCACCTCTGGGCACCCCCGGGCACCTCCGGGCACCCCCGGGCACCCGGGCACCGGGGCACCCAACCCGGGCACCGGGGCCCGGCCACCGAAATCGGCGACGTAGTTCACCTACACATATGAATCCACTGGGACCCCTACAGAGGCAAGCTCTGATTTGGGAAAATGTTGATGCTTCTGTAGATGGTTGCTCGCCCTCGACGCCATCGCCTTACCTTCCAGCTGTGTTTGTTCATCCGCCTTCTTCATTCGTCCGTCGCCATGGCATTGCCCCATTGCCCTCCACGCCCTCGCCGTCATAGTTACAATCAACTCAGGCCACCGAAGTCGAGGGCACTCGACCCAGTGCTCACACCCCACGCGGCGCTTGCACGCGAGTCCAGACCACGAGGGATCGGTGGGTCCGAAACGTGAGTAGGTTGGTGGGTCAGTGGGTCCGAGGGTTGGCGGGTCAGTAATTCAGTAGGGCAGTATGCCAGTAGGGCAGCGGGTCAGGAGGTCAGTATAGGTCTGGATATCAGATGGTCGGTAGGTCGGGAGGTCGAGAGGTCAGCAAGTGAATAGGCTCAGTAGATCAGTAGGGCAGTCGGCCAGGAGGTAGATCGGTCTGTAGATCGTCAGGTGAGTAGCTCGACATGTCAGGAGGTCAGTCGGTCCGAAAACCAGAAAGTCGTACAATGAAGTCCATAGGTCGATAGGCCAATGGGTCAGCAAGTCAGTCGGTCGACAGGTGAAGAAGTCAGTAGGTTGAAAGGTCGGGAGCTCCGTGGGTCGGTAGGTGAATCGGTGAGTGGGTCAGTAGGTCAAAAGGTCAGTAAGTTAGTGGGTCAATGGGTCAGAAGGCCAGTAGGTCAGCAGGTGAGTAAGCAAGCAAGTCGGTAGGCCAATAGGTTTGCAGGTCACTGGGTGGGTAGGTCAGTCGGTCTGCAGTTCAGCAGGTCCGTGGTCAGTTGGCCAGCAGGTGAGTGAGCCTGCACGCCAATTCGCGCAAAGGTCGGCAGGGCATAGCACCCCGACCGACTAAGGAAACGCGCGGCTGGCATCCGCCAAGTATCCGCCTGGTACTGCGCCAACAGTTCTCTAGACGAAGACCTGCCATGTGATTGCAGCATCGCTGCCGTTGCGAAGCAAGGACAGATGGACCGCGCCACTGCGCGAAAAGCTGGCGCGTTTGACAGCGAACGTAGACCAGGCACGTGTCGCAGCAGCACCAATGGGGCGCAACGTGAACAAATCGCGCGCCGCCCCGCGATGCAGATTAAGGGCCGTTCTAAAACGAAACGCCAGATTGAAACACTGGACGAAGCGCAGAACGAATGTGCCGGACTCATGCGCCAGTCGCCAGACCAATCGCTGGATACGCCAGGCTGAACTGGACAAATGCACCAGGTTCGGTGTCGAACGAGTAAAATCACTCACCGCCGGACTAACGCGCGTAATAGACATTGGTGCAGGAATCAATGGGGCACCTTGCTGGGGCGGCCGATGCGGCGGAGATCGTGGGGTAGCGTTAGGTCGAGCATGTCCCACTACAGGAATATTTTGGACGAAAAATTCACAATAGTCAAAAATACAAGAAAATAGTCGAAAATAAGCCTGGCGAAAGACCCAACCATATGCAGTTGTGAATACCGCAATTGTAAATATCTTCTTCGGTGGCGCTCCCTATGGGGCCACGAAGCGCTGTCCTGGGTGGGTGCAACGCAAGGCGCAAGGTCCGTGTTGGGTGGTGGCGGACGCATGAGGGCGGTGCCACTGGGACTTTCGGTGGAGCTCCCTATGGGGCCACGAAACGCTGTACTGGGTGGGTGAAACGCAGGGAGCAAGGGCTGTGCTGGGTGGTGGCGGACGCATGCTGGCGGTGCCACTGGAACCTTCGGTGGAGCCCCCATATGGGGCCACGAAGCGCTGTAGTGGGTGGGTGAAACGCAAGGAACAAGGGCTGTGCTGGGTGGTGGCGGACGCATGCGGGC